CGTGTGAGGGTGGTGAGGCCCTGGCCCAGGCTGCCCAGAGAAGCTGTGGCTGCCCCCTCCCTGGCAGGGCTCAAGGCCGGGCTGGATGGGGCTGGGAGCGACCTGGTCTGGTGGGAGGTGTCCCTGCCCAGGGCAGGGGGTGGGAACTGGGTGGTCTTTGAGATCCCTTCCAGCCCAAACCGTTCCATGACTCTGAAACACCATCAACTCACCCCATGGCTGTTCAAGGTGTGTCCTTGAGGTACCGTGATTGCTGGCAGCCTCTCGAGCTTAGGACTGTTGCTGATGCTTTGCCTTTCTTCTAAGTGGTCCACGGGTGTACAGTCCCGCTATGAATATTCTGCTCTTTCACTCCAGTGTCTGGACTACAGCAGTGGAGCCCTGACTGGTGACCTCTGTGAAGACCTGTGTGTGGCCCAGAAGCTGGTGTACAAACACTGCCTTTACTATGACAGAGGTAAGAAGGTCATGCAGGCTGACTGGAGAGGCCAGCCCATCATCCTGAAATCCAAAAAGGAAATCTTCTCCAGCTACCAGCATCTCAGTATGCTAGAGGAGATGGAAACGCAGGATATTCCTGAAACAGAGCTTCTGCTGATGGTAGCCTTGGAGGTCAAAAATGTCCTGGGGCTAGAGCTGTCTAACAATACCATGGGGCCCCTGTGGACAAAGAAGAAGGGACCACGTTGGAAAGCGCAGGTGGCCAGCATGTGGTCCTTGCTCCAGCAGGAAGAATATATCTACTTCAGTTTGCTGCAGGACTTCAGCAAACACGTGCTACGAATTATTGGCTCTTGCGGACACTTTTATGCCGTGGAGTATCTCACAGCTGGACATGCCTGGCACAAAACTCTTTTTCCCTTGGAAAAGGTGGTCGGTCCCTCCCTTGGCGGCCACAGAAGCAAGGTGAGAGCCATCACGGACATTGCGCTCAGCTTTCTGGACATGGTGCAGCATTTTGATAATGATTTCTCTCACCGGCTTCACCTGTGTGACATCAAACCAGAAAACTTCGCTATCAGGCACGATCTCACGGTAAGTTGGGCCTGGGGGGTTGTTTGGCAGCAATTTGAGGTCGAATTCTAGTCTGAATGTGGCTGTGTAAAAACAATACTTCCCTCCTCGGACAGCTTTTGGCCAAGTTTTTTGCAAAACCAATGCATTTACAAGTGACAGGGGAGCTTCTCTACTGCTTTTCCTCTTTGGGATATCTGCAGCCACATTTCAGAGCGCTAGATCCTGCTGCTTGTTTTGGGAACTGCTTGCTCAGGTCTGCTTTCTGTCACCTCCTCAAAGGCACCGACACCGACAGGGTCCCTTGGATGTGGTGAGGGATACGTCGTGAAGGCAAGGAGGTCTCAAAATGAAGCTGTTATTTGAGTCACTGCAGCTATTTCTGGTAGTGACTCTGAAAGGAAGAACTGTTTGAACTGGAGAGCGAAGGCTGAGTTCTCTGGCCTGGCACCAGGGGAGCTCCCCACATCCAGACACGCACACCTTGTGCTTCAGTGTTGAGCTCATCGGGTCTGGAGATGATCCGAGGACGGCGACGTGAAGCTCCCTGGTGCTGTTACTCTTTGGCTTTTCCTTGTGCAGCCCTGCCTCAGACCTGAAGAGCTTCGTGTGTTTTCTGAGCCGTGAGGTAGCTCAGCACCGCGCTCCTGCGTGCATCTCGCATCCCTTCTGCGGGCAGAGATTCCACCGGTTTCGGTGGGAGTTGTGTGCCCGGAGCGGAGGCGCTGTGCAGTAAGGGTGTGTTTGAACTGGGCTCACAATTTGCACGGACATCAGGGGAGTTTCTGCGCCCTGAGCGAATAGAAAGCATTTTCAGGGACTTTAGTGCTATTTTCAGTACTCACCGCACGGTGTTATAACACTCGCGCCTTCAGAGGACTAGACAACCATTGCCTGAACATCCAGCCATTAAGGGCAATTGGAGTGCTTCCCTTCACCCTTCCCTCCCCTCCCGTTGTTTATTCAGGTGCGATACAGCAGCTGGACAGGGAACGGGCGAGGAGCTGCAGCAAGAAACTGAACCAAGCGTACCAGTTCTCGGGCAAAGCGGGGTACGGCGGGGGTCCCTCCAGGCAGGCTCGGCCCCGCTGTGTCGGTCACACAGGGCTGTGACCGCGTGTGGCTGAGCACACACCCGAGCGTCTGTTTTCCAGCCTCCTTACAGGAACAGAGATTTCATTCAGGAAAAGGGAAAGACTATTGGATGCGTCTTCCCTTATGAGTCCTTTCGGTGAGGCTTGCTTCTTCAGGATCTTCCCGTGACTTCTGGGGTCCAAAGAGACAGCAGTCACTTTCTGATATAGGACAATACTCTAATTTAGTCTTTTCCAGAAGAATTCATTTTAAAAAGTTGAGTTGCCACACACACACACAGAGCTCTCCCAGTTGTACATACTTACAGCTTGCTGGTGTCGCCCGTTATCGCCCCACTGGGCTGGGAGGCAGGAGATACACACGGTCAGAAAGCTGCGGGGACAACAACGACACACAGAGCTTCTGATCCATGAAGAAGGAAGGAGAGTGAGAAGCAGAAACTCTAGGTGGCTTTACCAACCAGTTCCAGACTGGGGACACAGCGAGGCAGCCCCTCTTTCTCCCTTATGTTTAAGCAATTTTTCCACTTGCTTGTTTCTTGTGCTCTGTAGAGCATAATAATAAACACCCATAATGGTACCACTGTTCCTCACCTCGGTAACGAGACTAATGCCCAAAGAAATGTGCCTGGAGTGCAATGGTTTTACTCTGAGGATTATTTTCAAATGGTGGGGATAAGCCTCCAGCCCTTGCTCCAGCCTCCACACGCTGTTCCTGCAGGGCGGAGGGGAGACATCACTGCCTGGTAGACCATCCAGGGGAATTTTAAGCTGTCATGAAGCCACATAAGGTGCAAAGTTGGAAGGAGGTCTGGGTGAATACACAGTGCTGTGGGGCAGCCTCATCTTTTACCAGTGCTTCAGAGAGAACTGGGCAGATTAAGCACCTCCAACACGACTCTGATTTAGGTCAGGAGGCAAGTTGGGTCCTTCTGCGTTTCCTTAGGTGCCTTCATCATCAGTTACAATCATAACAAACCCCACCGAAATGCAGCTGTTTATAGGTCGCCTGTCACCCAGATCTGTCTTCGCAGGCTCTGGCTGGATGCCCACATGTTGTGGTAACGGGGGAGCTTCAGTGAAACCACTGAACCCTTTGGCAGCCGCACCACGGCTGGTTTTCCTGGCAGAGCCATTGATCAGATGGTCAAAGGGGGTCAGTGCTGGCAGAGACCCCACCAGGGAGCGGATGCAGCGACCCCAGGACTGGGGAAACCCTGCACCGCTTTTACTGTCTCTTCTCCAAAGAAGTGAATGGGAAAACTGCAGAAAGCTTAAGGGAGTAAAGAAGAAAGGAAAAAAAAAAAATGCCTGTCCGAACGTGTGAAATTCCTTAGGCTACATCACCATTATCAAGCTCTCCAAGAAGCTTAAAAATACTTGAGTTTTGAAGCTACACCTCACCTCTTTAAGATTTTCCCTGGGGAAAAACAAGTGGAATAAAATGAAGATTAGACCTTGTTCTTTGTTTTGCCTGTGGAAGGTTTACTTGGCCTTCTACCAGACCAGACATCTTTAGTTCCTGGGGCTGATCCAGCTGCTGCTCCAGCCACGCAGTTCAGCTTCCCCTGTTATTTGGGAGGTCGAATCTTAAATATCATTTGAGCCCAAGTAACTCTGCTATGCCCAGGTCGCAGATGTTGCTGAAGGCAGGCTGTGTGGTCAGCAGGTTGAGAGAGGTTCTCCTCCCCCTCTGCTCTGCCCTGGTGAGACCCCATCTGGAATAGTGTGTCCAGGTCTGGGCCCCTCAGTTCCAGAAGGACGGGGAACTGCTGGGAAGGGTCCAGTGCAGAGCCACAAAGGGGATTGAGGGGGTGGAACATTTCCCTTAAGGTGAAAGGCTGAGGGAGCTGGGTCTGTTCAGCTTGGAGAAGAGGAGACTGAGGGGTGACCTCATCAATGCTTATAAATACATAAAGGGCGAGTGTCAGGAGGATGGAGCCGGGCTCTTCTC